CCCAGTGGCAGGCATACATTGATTTCAAGGTGAGCAATTGCCCCCTTCAACTTTTCCAGAAACCATAGATGTAGTATTGATACATGAATAATTGCCCCTTGTCCCTTAATTCTACACCCATTGAACAAGCTTAGTTGAGACTTGAGAGAGTTAAGAAAGAAGTAGAGATAGAGAAGACAACAATGTTGTTTGAAGATGCATTTGATGAGAGTGACAACAACCATGATATATATATATATATATATATATCTCTAATTGGCCTGAATAGATAGGACATGAAAGGTAGATGATAGTTGAAGAAAGATATACCATTTGATATCATCAGTTGGTATAATATCAAAATGTGGCTGGTTAATGACAATCTTCAGTTCATATATATCACTTTAATGAGTTTTATACTAATTCAGTATGATTGATCTAACTGGGTGGAGAGGGATAACATTTTTCTAAATTAAAGGACCCTACCTTGTTTAGCTCTGTTTGCATGATAGAAAAAGAGGTAGACATTTGAAAAAAAGAAAAAAAAAACTACCTTATAAGGCTAGAGAAACAAAGAGGTTAAAAAAAAACCTACCTAAGTTAAAAATATTTTTAAAATGTATACGAAAGGTCATGTTCTAAAATCAATCATAAATCATTTACATCCCTCAATTTAAAAAGTTTTTAACTTTGCTACCTTGTCATTTTTTTCATCCTTTTTTCGTTACTGGGGCCCAATGAATTTTTTTAAATGTTTTTAAATAATAAAATATAATAATAGAACCCACTTTATATTTTTTATTATATTTTTTACCTCACTCCTCTCTCTAGTCTACAGTCTCCCTCGTCTCTTCACTCCTCTATCTCTTCCCCTTCTCTCGTCCCTCTCTCCTCCCCACTCTCTTCTTCATTTTTGCCATAGCCACTACTCTCCCAAGCTTCCTCAAGATCTCTTGTAGCACAACATCTTACCCTTCGTCATAAAGCTGGTCTAAACCAAACTAGGAGGAAAGTATAAGGCAAAGGCGAAGCTTAAAGCCTTAAACATACTGGTAAAACTAGAAGAAGCTTCCATGGAAAACCCAAAACACGAGAGAGGATACCCTCCACAAACACAATAAAACATAAGCCATAGATCCAAAACCCACTAAGAGACATTCATCATAGAGGCTTTGCCAATAACTCCGGCTTACAACTTGTATAGACAACCAGCTCACAACTACGTGCTCCACAAGTGCCATTAGAGACTTCCAAGCAATCACTCCAAGCTTGAGCTGGCACTGTAAGAATCTCCAAAAAGGAAATTGAAATACGAAGCTGAAATGAAGTGGTATCATCCACAAAGCAACAGCCCTTGATAGCTCTGCTAAATCATCAAGCTGGTCAAGAAGCTTTAAGATTGGTGACGCAAACAAAAGCAAAGGCAAGAGCTGAACATGGCAAATGGAAAGAACGATCCATGAATGTATAAGGTAAATCCCCATGATGTAGCCAAAAGCTTGCCCGCATAGTGTTTCTAACGCTCTAGCCATACCCAACTAATCAAACACATATTATACATTTTATATGAAATTAACAACAAAGGATCATGGAAAGTGGGGGGAAAATGATGCCAGTACATTTAGGGCTTTAAGCTTTGCCTCTCCCTCAATCGATCTATCCATCCTCTCTCCCTCCATCGTCTCTCTTTCCATCCTCTCTCTCCCCCCCTTCTTCTTTCTGAACATGAATGGCAAGTCAAGAATCGTACTGCTACTGCACATGCTCTGTTGTTAAGCTTGCATCCTTGGTGATGATGGCTCCGAGGTAGGAAGCTCTGAGGGAAGAGAAGATAAAATGGAGAGAGTTAAGGAGAAGGAGCATGATGACGCGGCCATGTCCAACGCCTAGGTTGTTGAGACTGGAGGTGACTTTTTTTGGAAAAAAGTTTGACGTCGGCATCGGTAAATGTCTTGCCAGTGGTGCTGTTGATCAAACAAGGATGGTAGCTTGAATAGGCAAGCACGATCATTGTGACCGGATGTGCTCCCTATTCCGTTAAGTAACAATCACTGGTACTAACATGGTTTGATCGTACCTTAAACTGCACCGATGACAGAAGGCTTATGGAAGAAGAGATGATGTTAAGAACAACCCAGGTGAGGAGGTTGGTGGCAACTCATGCATGCTTGTTCAACCTGACCATGGAATAAGAGAAAAATCTTTTACATTATAAAAAAATTGGTAGGACCCACTATATCATAGTTTATAATAAAAAATATTAAAAATTTAAATGTGAGCCCTACTATTAAAAAAAGGAAAAAAAATTGCAAGGTTGAAGGATATAAATGACTCATAGTTGATTTTACAATCATTTGTAACTTTTCATGTATATTTTAAAAATATTTTTAACCTTTAATTAAAAAAAAAAAAAGACTGCCTTATATGGCCACACAAGTAGAGAGAATGTCACCGAGAAATCTTGCAGGTGTGGTAGAAATAAAGAGATCATGATTGAGGATGTTCTCCATTTGCAGAGAGATTCAATTTGGCCAAGGCGACAGTGTTCGAAGTGGGAATTGGGAAAGGGAATAGGCAAACCATCAAATAAAACATTATATTATTTTAAAATCCTAATAAATCATTTCTTTTATTCTTTACTTGAGCAAATTTAAAACTAATATTATAATATGTTATAATATATATATTAGCACAAAAAATAATTTATTTTGTATAATTTTATTTCATAAAATCATTCATTTTTCTGGATCTTTGTTTAAAATATGTTTTTAAAATGTATGATCCCCTTAATTGTTTTTATTCATTCAAATTTTTTTTTCATGTTAAAACAAGATTTTGAATTAGTAGAATGCAAATTTTATGAATTTTGGCCAGAATAATGAAATTATCTTTAGAGAAAATTATCAATAAAGAAAGTAACAAATTAAATCTTTACTCGACAGATAAAATTTTTAAAAATAATGAATTAAGATAAATTTTAAAAAATATTTTTTATCAAACCGAATTATTAAATTTTATATAATTCTAGGGTCTTGCGCCACCACTGATCAATTTCCTCTCACTCTGGCTTCGTCTTGGCTCCTCTCACTCCTCTCCCCAAGTTCGAGTCCATGTGGTGAATTTTTTTCATTTTGATATTCTATTAAGAAAAATAATGACACGAGTTTAACTCTTTCCTTTCGGTTTTTTTTTCTTTTTTTCTTTTTCTTTTTTTGGTTGACAGCTCTTTTGAAATAATTGTGCCAACCAATGATTGTCTGCTTCCATTTTTAACTGTCAGTTATTTGACACAGTCAAAAGTGATGCTGTTTCCTTAAAAAAAAAAAAATTAGGAACGCATGTTCTAGTTTTTCCTATTCGTTTCTCGCAATTCCGGTATCCCTCACTCGCCCATCACGCATCGTGCCCCGTTTTTTTATTTTAAATTAACATTTTATTATTATTTTTTAGTTGCCTATTACATACACAGCCATAACATGTGAATCGGGTGGTAGAAAACTCTATTTTATTGCAATTATTACTATATATGTATGGCATGTGAGTTTTCTCGTATCACCATGCACTAGCTTTTTTTCCTTTTTATTTTCAATTATCATCACTCAACACCCCACAACTTTTTTTCAAAAAAATTTGTTTATGTGGTGGGATTTGTGGGGGTGTCTGTGCATAGTTGGTTAAAAATTTTAAATCATCCAGTCATTTGTGTGATTTCCTATCATATCTATATTCCCTAATATATCAGGCAGGGAATAAACAATATATTTAAGTTTAACTGAGAATATTAATTAATCAAAACATATTAGAATTCAGGACTTGCGTGTTGCACCAATTGGAAAATGTACTTTTTACCGCTGCATGAAAAGTAGATTTTATTGGCGAGAAAAATCTTTGAAATAAAGAAACGAAATTAATTTTTTTTAACCAACCAAAATTAAACAGTTTGGATATTATTTTATTTTGAAATTAAAATGGTCATCAGAGTTTGATGCTGAAAAGAGACGGCGACCCGCAGCGCATCGGCCTACGATGGTCGTCTCCGGGGCCCTAGCTGTTTATCAGTCATGGTTGCGCGGGCATCATCTCTGTCCACTAACATGAGTCAAGCAGCTTCGAGTTCAACTCCTCGGTGCAGAGAAAGAGCTCGCCCCGCCAGTCTGGGACTTCACCCCTCGACCCTCACTCTCTGTCATGCAACCTCCCGGAGCAGATTGTGCTTCTTCTGTTTTCCCAGCGCCCCCGGTAATCGCGGGGATTCCGACGACGAATGTTGGCTAGTTGGGGATTGGTGATTCTCAGGAGCACCAGACCCCTAACAGTCGGTATAAGCTTTTCTACATATGAGAAAAGAAAGTTCTTTTATGCCAATTGATTTCCTCAGAATTCAGCAATCTCTATATTCAAAATCCTTGGGTGGTGCTTATTCAGTCCTTGTCATTCTGGTAGAGTCATAGCTTTGCCCTGCCAAATCTATGTTTTAATCTCAAATTAAGTCCGGATCGATCAAGTTGGATGCGTTTTCTTTTGGAAAACAATAAGACTTGAAAAGGTAAGTTCTGTTTTGTATTGATAAAAAGAAACATGAAGTTTTAATATAAAACCTGTTTCCAAACTCAAAAATGCATCAAAATCTTCTCCGTTTATAAAGTAAACAAGAAAGAGTAGATTCTATGTTAATTGTGTGTGTGTGTGTAACAAAGCATATCTATAATAATTGAAGCCATTTCAATCCAATAGATATAGTAAAATTAAAATGGGTAGCAGATATTTTAAAAATAAAAATGTAATTTTTTAACAAATTTACTCGGGATTTTTTTTTTAATTTAGTGAAAGAGTGGCGTATATAATTTGAAAGTAAAATGAAATCCTCACAAGAAAGAAAAATAAGAAACAAGTACTCAAAGATTTTTGGCAAAAAAAGAAAAGAAAAAAGAAAGTACACAAAGATTCACAAGAGAACTGTGTCCTTACTTGTACATCTACTATATATGGGGAGAAATGATTTATGGAAGATCTATGGCTAAACAATGAAAAATCTAATAAAAAATTTTGGTTCCCTCCCACGCTCCCGTGATAATGAATGCATCTTTTTATTGCTCGAATTCCCTACTTCATAGACAGACTTCAATTTCTGGAATTTGTTTCGGCCTCCCAAAAAAATCCAGGCATTTGTTTAATTGCTGTTTTATTTCCAGGCACAGTATAATCAGCCGCAGATGCGATGTTCAAGTTATTTTAAGGTGAGTTATGTGAGCTGAGGCCCAACTCACATGCTACGAGAATTTAAAAAAGGGATTTAGAAGGGTTGAAGCCTATTTTGTTTCTGCTGAAACGATGAACCTCATTCTCAAAGGCTTTGGTCTTGATCAACCCTTCAAGGATATCATTTATGAAACCTATATTTTGTTTAACTACTAGAAATTGGATTGTATCTATTAATCTTGCTTACAGGATGTAATTTGTAATGCGAACTTTCTAGCTTGGAACGCTTATATTCGCCTCTCCTTTTTGTACTTTGTATTAATTTTTTCCTAGTTTTGAATGAATTTCAGTATTTACTCAAAAAAAAAAAAGTAAAACAAGAGACGGACGGAAGAAGCCACCCATTTTCAAGCGGCCCAATGACACAGGCCTCGGGCCCGGTGCTGGCCAGGCCATGTAGGATACAAACTATAATGTGTAAGATGGAAAAGATCAGAAAGAAAAAGCGACACACCAAATTGTAAGGGTGAAGCAGGGTTGAAGGAGGCGGCGTCGTGAAAACCAGCATTAAGATTGTTTGGAAATGAGATTCCATGCCTATGGCCGTTCGATTCATGACTTGGCTGGCTCTTGGAAAAAGGTAAAAGAGGAAGGTCATTACTCTGTTAGCAAGCCATAATATATCTGTAGGACAATCTTTATTCACAAGCAGAGAGAGGTTGAAGAAGAAGTTAGGATTAAAAAAGGGAGAAGAGGAAGAATCCTGTAAACACCCCTGAAGAGAAAACGAAGAAGCCAAATAACAGGAAGAGGAGGAGGAAGAAGGGAAAGATATGTGAAGGAAGAGGGGAAAAAGGCATATGGGAACTGAATGGGGAGATATGAAAAAGAGTATATAGGAGGAGAGGGTTGAAGAAGATGAAGTTAGTGAGAGAAGAGGATAGATAGAGTCAGAGTGATTGGGGAGTGAGGTGAGGATGAGTTTTGGAGTCGAAGTCACTGGGGATGGCCACATTGTTGAGCTGCGGCTGCATTATCTCCTGCATGTCTGCTCCCACCATCTCCTGCTGCTCCCATGCACAGTCATCAAGTCCCATCAGCAACCAAAATTCACACGCATCATCATCAAAAACCAAATGATTCATCAAGCTTCCCGAATTACCTGCATGGCAGGATATATTGTGTAGCCTTGAGGCCAGGCCTGCAGATTTGCGTCGGCGCTTCCCTCGCCCACGTGGCACTCCCCGTTGTTGCTCCTCCCTCCCTGGGAGAATGCCTCGTACACCGTCGATGTCAGTGGATCCAACGTCCCCGACGCGTCGAATACATGCGAGTGGCTCTCGCCCCCCTCCCCTAACCATCCCACGTTCTCCAATGACGTCATCACCGACGGATCGTATGATGACAGATGGTTGCTCATCACGTATTCCTGCACCCCATTTACCATTACATCACATGCCACTTATTCAACTCATGCATGCATGCCCACGTCATCATCACTAGAATGCATTCATATACCACGTGTCCTACCTTCCTCTGCATTACACGCGTCAGCATATCTACCAGATGCTTTTCGCTCGATTCCAGCTCCGCCGTTGATGTCATCTTCAATGGCTCCGGCTCGTATATCCTATTCCCAGCCGTTCCCCAAACTCACAAATCACATTGTGTCCATGTAGGGGGCGGGATAAAATTGAATAGGGTGCATCCAAATTTTTTTTTTAAAAAAAAAAATCAACGCACCGTATCTGTTCTTCCGCCATTTGAAGCTGTTGCTGCAACCTGTTCACTTCTTGTTGAAGCTCCTGAAGGACAAAAATGAGATATACATCATTCACGAGGAATAAGACCCGAAAAAAAAGAAAAAGAAAAATTGAGCATGGATTGAATCGCTGTCTTTTCTTACTTCAATCTCCGAGTTGATGTCTCCGGGACTATGGCCAAGCAATCGATGAAATTTCAATGGCAGGAAAGGAACAAATTTGGCACCGTTAGAAATTAATCATAATGATTTCAATGGGGATTTAAAAAAAACAAACAAACAAACAAACTTGTTGGTGAGAAGAGGAGATGGAACGAACTTGGCCAGCTGAAGAGCTATGTCATTTTCGCTCTTCAGTTGTTGAAGGGTCCTCAACAGATACTGCAAAATGCACAAACATTTGCAAATTGTACCGAGATTTGCATTGATTACATGAAAAAACTCTACATTATTGTCTCGCTCCTTGCCTATCCCTAACAGTCACCAAAGACGATTGATGTGGTTATTACACAGTATATGGCCATACCTCTTTGTCCTGAATATTCCTGCATCAGTTTCAAAAGGGGAAAAAAAGTGAGGAAATTTTACAAATCATATTATCGTGAGTAAGCGATGGGTGTCTGAAATAAAAAGTATCCTAATTAAGTTTAAAAATAACGCACAAGTATACATGACATTTGATTAACTTAGTTTGACTTATTAATTTTTTTTTTTTGGAAGAGAATAAAAGACGGCAAAAGAGGAGATAATGGGTTAGAAAATATATACCTGCGGTACGGTTGCTCTGGAAAGGTTATAGCGCTGCAAGTAACCCAATACTATAAATGATCAGATCGAAAAGCCAAGTTGTATTAAGGAGTACCCACCAGCTTAAGAACAATTGCATTTTAATTCAAAAAAAAAAAGAACAAACATACCCATCTCTTTCTTGATCTGGTAGATTGATGTAATGTGTGAATACATCTTCAATTCTGATTACCACAATAATAATAATAATAGTGAATAAATTTTATTCAAAAAGCCAAAGCAAAATACCCGAAATAAAGCATCAGAAAATTATGAGGACATTAATCATTATCAGTGTTACAATAAATTTTTTTTTTCAGACTCAGGACTTGAGGTAAGCTCACCGTCCCTAAATTTTATTAGCTGCAAAAATTTGGCCTATCGTACGATTATGAAAACATTTCCGTTCTATAAATACGAAATGTAAGGTTCCCTAGTTCAATAGTTATTAGCACTAAAATATTTTATATTTTTAAAAAATTAAAAATTCTAAAGTTCAAATCTCAGTAAGAATTAGTCGAGAGAAAAGTTTTTACCTTCGTTTTAAAAAAAAATGAATGACCGATTTGATACTTAAATGTTTTAAGTTTTATAAATAGCTCGAAAACCAATTTCTTATCCTTTTAAAATTCGGTTAAATACTGCATATTAAGGAACTATCAACACAGTTAATATTGTATTGTATTATTATTAAAGTTTGTAAATATATGATTTTAAAATTTCAATTGCCACGACTTTCGAATTCAAAGCAAAGGTTTCACCATATCTGAGTCAAGACTGAAGATCCTAATCTGTAGGAGATTACTCGTATTTCTAGTTGTAACATATGAACACTTATCCCTTTTTAGGCATGGAACAGGTTTTTTTTTTTTTCAAAAAATAAAATTAGGGCGGCCAATGCAGGTATGATACAAGTATTTTAGGAGAAATAATCAGCAGAGTGCACCTCAAAGAGGTGAAATGAACTTTAGAGAAAAATTTTGGCTCTAAAGAAAATGATTAAACATCAACACATTGATACCCGTTGTCAAAAGAAGAAAATAATGATCTGGGTTTTTCTTCTATATGATAGATTTCATATAATGCGCCAATCGCCAAGTTTCCTTACGCCCTCCAAATTCTATTGCTTCTGTTACTAGAATAATCAACAATCCGATCTACTTTGTGTGGGTGCTTCTTGTTCTGAGCATAATTATATTAACATAAATCATTAGCCAAGTCATGGTTCAATTTTCTCGCGTTGCTGAGGATTCATTCATGTGAGATTAAAGAGAAAAACATTCAGAGATTGAAGAAGAAGAAGGAAATGATGGAAAGATAGGGCGCGTAATTGAACAAACGAAGAAAATGCATAGAGAAAGGAGAGAGAACCTTCTTCTGCCGGAAAAGTGACTGACACGGCCTGAAGGAGAGAACATGATGAGAGCAATATCAATGTCGCAGAGAATGGACAGCTCGTAGGCTTTCTTGATGAGGCCATTTCTGCGCTTGGAGAATGTGACCTGACGATTTATGGTGTTCTCTATTCTCTTAATCTCCAATTTGACACGACCCATTTCTAAGTTATGAACGTGAAATGCAAAGCATGCAAATTAAGGAAATTGCAGATTCTGTATGAGGAAATCTAAAGGACCCTGTCTCTTTTTTTTAGAAATGGAAAAGGTGGAATTTATATAAATGCGGAAATGCATGGGCGTGCATGAAACACCTAGAAACGAGGGACAGTTGGATATGAGAGAGAGAGTGGGGGATGGTTATAAATGGGTGGGAGAGGAGAAAATGGAGGCACAGAGATTGAAGGATTTTTAAAGGAAAGAGTCTCAGCTGCTTAATGCTCTCATCACAATTATAATTATTGGTTATTATACGTAAAACACTACTCTTCATCCAACCAATATAACTATTATAAAACACTACTCTTTCAAAATTCCACTCTGTCTCTGTCTCTTCTCTACCTACCTAGCTACTTTGTCTCATTCTCTATTTCTGCTTAATCAAGTGTTATCTACAACTAAGTGTGGCCTTGTTATATATGTTATATAATACTTGAAAGGCTATAAGACTAAATTCAATTCAATAACCTACTTTGATCTCAATGGTATAAATTTTTTGAACACGACTTCACGCCCATATATAAATCCTTGGTTTTTATTAAGAACCAAGGTGTTCTATATTTTCATTAAAAATCTAACGGTTCAATAATTAATTTCATACAAAGGCTGGAGACGGCCATCTATAAGTCCGCACCAAGTTATTTTGTTACGATGTTTTTTACCCTATCTTTTAACTACAAGTATTATATTGATAATCTAATCATATTTTTATTTTGTTAGCTATAGTAAATAAGCAAATTAAAAGTAATCAAAACCCGTCGTAAAAAAATTATGTGTTTTTGTAATGCTATAGAAATTTAAAATGGACTTCTTCTTCTCTCGTCTTATTTTTAATTGAGTTGGGGATTACGTAGTAATTGAAAACTATTCAATTCCGTGCATTATAAAAGTCTAGTAAATGAAGGAGTGTTTATAATTTATGAATATTCACTATATATAGATTTTGCATTTTATATTGATGTGAAAACATCCGCCAAAAACACAAGGCAAAAAATCATGCAAATGCTCTTAGCAAAGTTCCAGTGCTGTAGGAAATTAAAAGATCTTACCGAACCCCCGAAAACACGTTATGAAGCCATTTTATAATATAAATGCTGTAGTTAGTAGTTAGTGTAAGGCAATATGTGGGAACGGAAGAGAATATAGGAAAACTGGTATTGGTCAAAATCCATATAGAAATGCATATGCTTATCTCTACTACAGTTTTAACAAACGGTTTCAACTTAATTATAAATGAATGGTGGACGCGTAATATTCAAGCCCGTGGCTATAAGTTGGGAAAAGACTCAAACGAAGAGTCAAAATTTGGTTACAAAACTCTTGTTTCTGTTATTCCTAACTCATTTCCTACCTCGGGGGAATAATATCGCGCGTAATTGACCGAGCTAACTATAATTATATCTGATCTATACGCTCATCATTTTCATTTACAGAGGAAAAAATATTATTAGTGATTAATAAATAGGGATAAAACTTCTCAGGTGGTCATTGATCGACGTCTGATATAAAGTATTCCTATATTTAAGTTTGTTATTCACCAATCACCATGTGAAAACCACAAGTCATAACCAGCACGGATCTAAGAATCTTAGATAAGTTTAGACAAACCCTTGTCTGAAGAAAAAAAAAAGAATAGGTAAATTACAAAGAGGTCCCGTATAGGAAATTTATTTATAAATGAATCTTGTGAAATTTGAAAACTATTATTAAGTCTTGGAACTCAAGTATAATTTGATGTTATGATGGAAAGACAATACTACTCTTATTAATTTGATTAGCATTCACTTATAACTCTAATTTTATAATTTATAAGTAAAAATTCATAATTCACTAGTCAAATATCTTGTTTAATGCTCGATATAACATGAAGTTAATTATGCCTACTTAAGGTACTAATTATAGAGTGAATTATGAATTTTACATCCCAATTAAACATGTAAATTCCAAATGAGCTATATTACTTTATTTACATCCCAATTAGACTAATTATAGCATTAAGTATGCATTACTAATTCTATTGAGACTCCATATTATATCAAATGTTAAGCAAGAAATTTCACTTGTGAATTGCAAAATTTGGTTGTGAAATTTAAAGTTTCAGTTGTAAGTGAAAGCCAAATTAATAGGGGTAATATTATATTTGCACTCTAAATAATAAATTACACTCAAATCTTAAGAGATTGGATTGCAGTTTTTAAATTTTGCATAATTTATTTGTAAATAAGCTATTGTACAGGACTTATTTGTAATTTTTTAAAAGAATAAGGGTGTCAAAGGCTGCCTCTCAACTATTTGCTCACAAGTATTTGATATCCTAAACTTTTATGTGATATAATTTTTCCTTCAACTTTTAAAAATAATGCATTGGATACTATGTCATTTAAAAGTTAATATCAATCGTTAATTGATTCAAAAAATTTTAAAAAAGACTTTAAAATTATAAAAAATGACTTCAAAAAGGACTTAATCGATATTAATTAATTTTTATTTTGTATTAATTTGTAATTTTATGGGTCTTTCTTTATAATTTTTTCTGTCGATTTCTGGAATTTCTTGGGTCGATTAACAGTCACAATTAATTTTTTTAATAAGTTATTTGATACACCATTTGTAAAAGTTGAAGGAAAATAATATCCTTTAACTCAAAAAATAATTAGGAAAAAATTTGAAAATAACTTGATATGAGAATATTTAAATTTAAATTTGAAATTAAATTTATTGAAACTAAGTATGTCTATTGAATGGTGAAACAACAACAACAACAACAACAAGAATTATTATTATTATTACTATTTTCTGGTAAAGGTCGCAATTAAAGATTTTCCCAAATAAACATATGCTGTTTAATATAGTACCATTTACGAAATTATTTTTTTTCCTGGTAAAGGTCGCAATTAAAGATTTTCCCAAATAAACATATGCTGTTTAATATAGTACCATTTACGTAACGAATTATAAAAGTCAATTACAGGAAAATATAATATTGACAGTAGGATCGCTGTACATTTTATTCATTTGCCGACGTACCCTGTTACTTAGAGTGATCTATTGTTAGAATATGTTTGGAGTTTTTATTTTTCAATTTTATAATTTAACCATTTTGTGTTTGTAAGGTTATTCAAGTGCAATTAGACATTTATTGATGTGAGAAGTGTCATATAGAATAAAATTCTTGGACTTAATAATCAATATATAATAAAAGATAAAGACATATAAAACTCATTAGACTCAAATAGCTTGGGTTTTTAGGTTTGTTTGAGCTGGCTCAAATATTAAAATTTTAAATTTTATTTTATTTTTATTTATTCAATTTCAATTTTATCTTAAAAATTAGGATTTTTAATTTTTATCTAATTTTAATTTAATTTTATTAACAATAAAAAAGAATTTAGATATTCAAGCTAAATTTATTCAGATTTGGGCTTGATCCGAATTTTTTTAAGCTTATTCTAGTCACTCAAAAAGCTCAAAATAAAGAAATTTTTTTAAATTTTCAAGTCATGCCCTAAAATTTTGTGGGCTTATTTTTGTTAGTTTGTTGGACTTGACCCAAATTACCAACTCTAATATTTTTTTATTTTTTAAAATTATGTGATGTTGACTGTGAATCTATAAGAATAGAACTTGATGGATTGAAAAAAATTGGCTTATTTTATAAAATTAATGGATATTCATATACTATTGTTGGTTTTAGGATATTAGAAGATTTTGGAAAAAAAATTTATGGATATTTTTTCACTTTACATTTGCTTCCTTTTTTTAAACTATCAATGTTAATAGACATTGATTAAATTTAATGAAATGGGGACCTTTGCACTCATCATTTTAATAAGTTTATGAATATTTTTGTATTTTTATTCACTTAAAGAAACTAAGTGTACCTAGAAAAAAAACCGCTAAGTATTTATGCTCTTCAACCCTATTTTTAATTGACTTAGGGATTGTGTATTAATTGAAAACTAGATATTCAATCCCGTGCATTATAAAAGTCCAGTAATGAAGGCAGCGTTTATAATTTATGAATATTCACTCTATATAGATTTTACGTTTTATATTGATGTGAAATCGTCGACCCAAAATACAAGGTAAAAAAATCATCCAAGTACCGTTGGCAAATTTCTAGTGTTGTAGGAAAACATCTTGCCAAACCCCTAAAACACAATGCGAGTAGTAGAGTTGAAAAAACATGTTGATCCTTAATAAAATTGAGTTTAAAGGAGCCAACTTGTTTAAACTCAAACACCTTTTGAAACCTTAAAATGCAAAGCCTGATCTTTGACACAGCAAGCTTAGGATTATTGTTTTTTAAAATTTTTCATTAAACTGGAAATACTTCATTTCACCAACACAAAAGTGCCAACACACATAAATACTCAACTATTAATAGCATCATCATTATCATCTTCTTTATCACTATCAAGAAGTTTGGATGGATTATCAGAACAAGTTTGTATGCATGAGATGAAATTCAAATAACGATTGATTTAATTCATTAACTAATTAGTAATTTGAGCTGTGAAATCAAAAAAATCATCGAGGAAAGCATAAAAGAAACGTAGTCCTTGGAATCTAAAAAGTTCGCAATCTAACTGCCGGAAAGGTTCTTGCTTTACAAGGCTAGGTCAGCCTTCAAGTAGTAAGAACCAAAATGGAACTATTTCCCAACATCACTTACTTCCACTCAGGATCTAGAAGAAGCCCTGTTTACAGTATCAACAGGGAAAGCAAAAGGAATAGAGCATCATTAACGCAAACAAAAATAGAAAAAAACATGACGGAGAAGGGTTCACGATAAAACTTTTATCAGCTACATGAGGGTAAGTGATGATCTAGGATTGGGAGTTCACAAATGCACAATGAGCGACGAGAAGGAGGATTTGGGAGACTGATGTCGGCGAGCCGACTAGTCGATCACTGTCAGGACTTAGGTCTTAGAGCGAGCACTGTTGGAGTCAGTGACAGGGACGTTCGATGAGTGAGCAGAAGCAGGAGCAAGGACGACTTGTGATGACGGGGAAGGAGACGACTTGCGATGCGAGGCGGTGAGCAGAAGCAGACTGGAGAAAGTGAGGAGTGAAGGCTGAATGAATCATGCACCCGACTGAATTAGGGGATTTATGGTTCAACTTTTTCCTCCTCTTCTAAGTGGACACGGGCTCACATATGTGATGTGAGGACAGCTTTAATTTTGGGAGAATTGTGTTAAAATTTCACCTAACAAAATTAATTACTACAAAATTAATTAATAATTAAACTAAAATTAGACAACACAGTATAATTTTTCTTGTGTGAAACCGTAATTTTTTCTTTAATTTTTTTCTAAGTCCACGAGAAGTCAGCCATGTTAATGATAAAAAAATTTTAAAAATAATAATAATACGCAGGCTCAAATGGTTGACACTCGGCCTGTACAGGCAAATCTGTTTAAACCTGATTCACTATTTTGAGTTTTTGTTTGCAAGCCCCCCCTCCCTATTCTACGGGTTTAACTTTAAACGAGCTTAATCTGCTTTCCCGAATTAAAACCAACATAATATAAATGCTATGTAGTTATCGTGAGGTACACGGAGAAGAGAATATAGGCAAATAGGCATGGGTCAATAATCCATAAAGCGAAATGCACCATCCTTCTCTCTATTATAATTTTAACATACGGTTCCAACTTAATTATAAATAAATGGTGGCCGCGTAGGGCGCAAGCCATAGCTATAGGTTGGGAAAACACTCAAACAAAGAGTCAAAAGTTGGTTACAAAACTCTCCAGTTTCTTCGTTCTTGCTAATAACTCATTCTCCTGACTCGGGGGAATTAACGCGCCTAATTGACCAAGTTAATCTATATTTAACGAACAACAATATCTGATCTGCTATACGCTCATTTTCACATGCAAAGAACAAATAGTACTCAATAATAAATAGGGGAGACCTCTCAAGTGTCATGAGGGTCGTTGGTCAGCGTCTGATATAAAGTATTTTTATAACTGACAAGAGCCTTTCCTTGCCCTTCATCCTTTAAAAAAAAAATCATAAATAATAATTTATATTTTTTAGTCATATCATTCCATTCCATTCCTTTTAAAAAAATCTTCCAAATATAATGTCAGATGCTTGTCTGAAGGGGAAAAAAAGAATAATTAGGAGGAATTTGAAATAACGAGTAAAGATCAGAACATTTAAATTTAAATTTATTGAAAAATCAACAAGAAAACTCATAAGAATGCATTTCTATTCAAGTGTAAATACGAGTTCAGCTATTAAAGTAACCAAATCGGTCCCCCATCCCCGTCATTTATTATTATTTTTCATGTAAAGGTCACAACTAAGGTATCCTTCACCATTTTCCCAAATAATCACATGCGGTTTAATATCGTACCATACACGTAACAAATTATATGAAGGTCAGTTACGGAAAAATATAACATCAACAATATGATCCCTGTATATTTTATTCATTTACCGACGTACGTCTCCCCAGTGATCGCCGGAATATATGTTGGGAGTTTTGTATACCGTGCAATTGATTGAAGAGTTAAGAATCATGGCTGAACTTGGCCGGACTTCATTTCAAAATTAAAAGAGGAGCGAGCATCCGGGATATACAAAACAGAACGGGGAAACTAATTAATTAATGAAAAAGTCTTCTGGGTTGTTTGAAGGAATTCTTTAGATGCCTAAACTCACCATGCCTTCAAAATTCCCTGCCACCGTCCATTCCAAACCTAACTTACAAGTTTCAATTCATTTATTAGAAAAAGACACGCACACGTACGTGGCATATATATAAGAGCTACATGACAGAGCAAGCATTTGGATTTTCATCGCTGAAGATCTGGACATAACGATCATCGACGGTAGTCTCGGAAATGGTCGCGGTGTCAGGGACGCGCCTAACCATATTAGGAGGGGCCTTCTTGTCGTAGGCCTGAGCCACATACGGGTTAGCCACCGTGGTATAGGGCACGTAAGGCCACAGCTCCACCTTCTTCTTTGTGCTCTGTGCTGCCTTCAGCACTTTCTTCGCCTCAACATATCCCGTCACTGTCGCTTTTTGTTGCTTCAAGTCCACGTCCACCGACTTCGCTCCTGCACACACCCTCCGAAATTATTATGTCAAATCGACTGTACTACCCGATCCAAGTCTACACGAGTGAAGAATCTCTGTGAAGCGGCTGTTAATCAACCAAGGATATGTACCTTTAACGCCGGAGAGAACGTTCTCGACCTTGCGCGCGCACCCTTCACAGTCCATTCTGATTTTCAGAGCTACGGTTTGCATTGGCTTCTTCTTCTTCTTCTTCTTGCTACTGCTGAGTAAATTAGACAGGTATTCCAGAGTGCCTTCTACGCCCATGTTTTGCCTCTCTTTCTTTGCTCCTGGGTTTCACCTTTCAGAGTAATCGATCGTGTGCTGTGCTATTCTATTCTATTTTATTTATATATATATATATATATATATGATTTGAGGCCACGCCATGAGCAGGCTGATTCCAAAGTTGAATATGGAAAATGACGGGTGCAAATCTCTTTTTGTGTTCAAGTGGCTGGGAAGCGTGGTGGGAAACAAATACGATTAGGCATTAGACAGTAATGAGTTAGGAGATGGAATATATAATGGGACGGCCAGTGATTAAGTGACAAGTGATGAAAGGGTCTTTAACGCTCTTGGCCTCCGTGGCTTTCGTTTGGATTTGTATGTGAAAATAATGGACCGTGGGACAAAAAAATATTGAGGAGTCCTGTTTACTATATAATATACGCATTTAATAATTTTAGAGAGTGAAGTTGGGTTGTCTCAGCCTGCTCTTACAATCTTCTTATCTTCGTTTCATATCTCAATCTTAACTTCACAGTTAAAAATTAATGCCCGAGGAATTGACTAGGCTCCTCGGGCTGACAGGAGCCTCCTGGTTGCTCAATTTGATTCGGCGATTCCTTCAACAGAACCTCTTCTTACATCTTCATGTGTATTTGCAAAAGTAGCAGTCTGGCCATAAATTAATTATAATAAATATTAATATAGATATGTAAATCAACATTCAATATATTCGTTGTCTTAGAATAATTATATTACCACATTAAATATTAAAAACATGACCGCCCATGATTTTAAGTTTAATGGTTTGATTGTAGTCGAACAAATGCTAGCTGAATTCATGAATTTTTAAATACATGCTAACTATTTTAAATAAAAAGGATAAAAAAATAATAACAAATATGTATTTTAAAGAAACCTATTTCAAATAAAAGCAACAATAAAATGGACATCGTACCCCTGAAAGCTTGAAAAGATTTCCCTCAAATAGTTATTATTACTCTATGAAGTGTTCTAAGTGCATGAATTAATAACTACCGGCTTGAGATACTACAGATTTAGCGAAGGAGATGGCTATCCATTCCACTCGAGACCTTGAGAAGAATTATGAGAATTAATTGCTATAACGCTTGCTTTATTGATTTGCCTAAAATTCCTGCATCTAATTAAGCTAATTGTTCTCTGGAGAATTATATTTAAATCTTATATAAAAAAATTAATTATAACAAAATTTAAGGATAGCTGAATTAAAAAAATTGACTTAGCTGAATTGTTACTAAATTTTATAATAATTAATTTTTTACGTGAAATTTTAATATAATTTTAGTTGTTCTGACCGGCATGTAAGACGATATACATATTAGCGGCGGGCCCCAAGTCAGATATATATGATCTCGTAACAGTGGGGTGGAGCCCGTTTTATTTTATCTCTCTATCACTCCCAACAATCAAACGACTATGATTTTATATGGCGGTGGCCACTCTTGCACCATTTTTTAAAACTTCGAATATGTGGCCAATTTTATTTCTTGGTTGCGATTGTTGTTTTTACTTTTCAGGCTTTTTGTTTCTTTTTTAAATCGATTGTTATTTTTCAGGTTGAAATTATGAACAATAATTGAGGACTGGAGGGGTTTATAACTAACGCGTCAAGACACCTGTGTGGTATAGTTGCCGGCTACGTGGCAGCGGGAGTCATTACAGAGCTTCATAAGCTGTGGACTTAAAAGAAAAATAAAAATTATTGAAAGAGAACATACAGGCACAGCTACAGCTCTCATCAAGACTTGACATTATTAATTGGCGACTTGGTGAGGGTGACATTAGAAAAATAAGACAAAGGCCCTACTGTGCCACTACACGAGTAATCCATATATCTTCATTAATTACGCGTCCCAAATGCCCTGTCCTTGAAAACGAACCCTCTTGTTCGCGTTCTCTGATTGCTCCTTTGTTTAATCTCTCACTTAAACTTTCACAAGTTGTGGCATAAGGCAGCGACATTTTTAATTCTTAAATTGATCACAAGACCCTCCCAGATCGAGTTCGTGTCCGGCAAGTTAAATCACGATTCAATAAAGGCAATGTCAGTTTGTGAAGCAATTCAACTTTAAATAAATGCACTCCCACTTATGAAATGACACCGAGACAACATCGGCGTGCCTTTCAGGAGTCTCATCCTTCACCCCTTTGCACTGGATCACCGACGTTTAGTTCATAGGCAATGACTATTTTAAATACGCCACCAGCCGTAGCGATCTTTCTTCAAATCAATATAGCTCTAAAAGGTCAAAAAACAAATCAATGTAGCTAGCCACCACCCTACCTAATATGAAGCATTATCCTGCTATAATAAATCATTTAATTAAACGAATAGAGTGGCTAGTGTAGACGTGAGACTAAATCCAACAAATCATACCTTATTCGATTGTCACCACCACGTGATTGAAACTAATAGATTATTGTTCAGTCACGAGTGTCAGGTCGATTGATCACCCGTAACTTAATTTAGAGTATATGTATATAAGATTACACACAGAAAAAGGGACCACCAGTAATATCATTGTTGTTGTACACGTCTTAGTGTAGGAGGGACACAGGGCGATTGACAAGTAAATTTTTAAGAAGATCAATTAATTTAATTTATATTTTAAGTATTAAATTTTAAAAATTTATAAATTTAATTTTTAATTTTATAATTTTATTATGATAAATTTATGACTTTGTATTACAAATTTTAATAGAAAAAATAATTATGTTAAATTTTAAAAAATTAACTGTAAATTTATTACAACTAAATTATAAAATTAAAAATTAAACTTATAAATTTTTTAAACTTGACACTTAAAACTTGATTCAAATTAATTAATTTTTTTAAAACTTTTATATTATTCTTGAGATGTACTATAAATTTCGACGTGTCTAGACTGGCTCATTAAAAGGATGATCCACCATCCACTCTGAGCTTTAGATGGATTGCAGGATACGGACAAATATCCTACCCACATAGCTTTAATTTCAAAAATGGTTAATCTTACTAGCTAGTCTTTTAGGTATACTGGTACGACGGTTTCCTGCTTGCATATAGTGCCCTAGCTAGCTGCAATGAACCTTAACTCGTAGATGTATAAACACATTCTGTGAAAGTTGAGAGACCCCCACAACGAGTCAAATCAATAAAATGTGGTCTCGTACAATTGTCCCTCCGGAATTGCTAGGCGTGCGAGCTAGTAAACCTATTGATACAGACAAAGGGGAGGAAGGCGGAGGGACAAAGAAAATAAACCAGTCCTGCCACTTGTTTTAGATCACCTTATGATCATCTCCAACCAAAAACCAGCATGCGTATGAAGTCGAGGGAGAACGCGAGCCCACCTGCACCGTCCATATCGTACCTTCATTGGCCTGTAATGAACAGAATATATTTAGAAAGTAAGCATCCATGTATAAGGGCTCGAACTCAAGAAGAAATAGCCCCCAGTTCCAGAACCGCTTTAGGCCTGCTGACGGGTCTTCGTCCACGCATCTTTCAAGCTTCCTATTTTTCACAGATCAATAGAAAAGCGATGTGAAACAGGAAGGGGGAGGGGAAGGAGAGGTGAAAAGAACGAAGGGAGAGGGAGAGAAAAAGGGATGAGGCGGGGCAAATTCCAATTCTTCATTCAATCAATTAATCAGAGTTTGCTTATGATAAAAATATTATAAGGCTATTTATTTTTAGAAACATGAGAATATTAAAAATAATAAATCAAATTCTATACCTAATCTTAAAAGGTAATTAAAAATAACAAAAATAAATTAGATATACCTAAATACCCTACTTATTAAAAATAATCCAAAATACTGAAAAATTTAAATAAGCAAATTATCTAGATCGGGTTTGAAGGCCATTTCCGGCCACCTTCCTTTCTGGCGAAGTAAATTCCATTTTTTGGGCAATACCGGCCTTGTCAGTCCAAATGTGTGGTCGACCATTTTGGGCCTTCACCTTTAGCCACAAGCCCATGCCAGTTGCAAGTTTGGGCCTTCAATTACATGCTAACACCCACCGAACTTACAGTTATAGTACTGGCTTTCATCGGCAATGGAGTTTTCACGTGAAGTTTTACCGAAGTGGATTGGACAAGCAATAAATTTAGTATTATTCAACTGCTTTAAGATATCGTGTGCAAAAGTAAAAAATAATAATAATAATAATGAGTCCTATTATTCATGTCGCATTGACAGTGTTGCTTGCTATAATTTTTCTATATTCCATACACTAATTAATTATATTTTCAAAGGTATTGCATAAAATCTGACATGAGGAATACTTGCTATAAAAATTTACTAACAAAAAATTTGAAATAATTAAGAAGCTTTATATTATGAAATAGAAATTTAAACACGCATAAGAAAACTGAGGAATATATGTTGGATATTTTATAAACAGTTAAGATGTTCATGCATGAGTGAATTTAAATTGATATAAAAAGTTTCACATCAAACAAAATAATATATAATAAAATAAAATAGTTTATAATTTTGAATTTTAAAATTGTGAGTATACAAAAAGAAAAACTCCAAAGGACATCAACTACAGTCTGGTTCCATGAAAACTAATTCAAATTTTGCTTTTAACTACGCGTCTAAACTGAGGGATAATCGACGTCACACTTGAGTTCTAAAATTCTGTCCGCCGGTGGCGTAATTTGTGTTTCACCTAAGAAAAATTGGAAAATACCCTAACAAAACGGATTGTTTTGAGCTATAAAAACGCATCATTTCAAAATTAAAATTGGCGCCATTCTGCTTCAATAAAAGTTGGGAATCTTGTGCTTGCTTCAGTGGATGGCTGTAGACTGCATGGCAATGTTTTAAAATTTGAACCAAATGTTGAATTAGAAAGAGCAATAGGTCATGATTTTCATAATTTAATCAGTTAGACCGGCGATTTAACCAATGACATAAAAATTCAATAAAAAAATATTTATATACACAAATATATGAATAAAAATATTAATTTGTCAATTGTGCTTGGGATCTCGATGCCAAAGGCTAAACACCTAAACTGCTTTGGAGCTGGAGGCAGAGACATGTCAATACAATCTTACAATCTCGAAGCAAAATGCTAGACCTAGAGACACGCAATCATGTTATGACTCTCGAGCTTTTGATCTCGATACCGAAGACTGGATAGCTAAAGTTAAAGGTAAACGCTAGGGGAGAGGTCAGAGATTGAGCATAGGTCGTAAAGGAGAGATTAAAAATGAGATAAGAGAAGATAAAAGAGAACTAAATATTAGAAAAGAAGAAGCACAAAGTTGAGGGACTTAACTTGAATTTCAAGTCAAATATGGTTCTTTCAAAACTGACTTGGTTAACTTGGTTCAATTGCCAGATTGGTCAACATAGTTGAATTAGGTCGTTTTGATCAGTTGGTAGTATTCGAACCATCCAATCTGATTTTCAAACACTATTGCACAGGACCATTGTTTTGCATAGAGGATAGGCAGAGGATGGGCGAAGTTATAAATCTATTCCTAGGTCATGTTTTCTTGCTAGAATATATTAGAATGAAATTAAAAAAATCAAGAAAAAAATGAACTCAATCACCTTTATCCTCATGATAAAATGATAAAATTCATTAATATATATTACAAATGTGAAAATCATCATACCCTTCAAAAATTTCATAATCATGATTCCCAATCTCGTAAACTAAATTATTCCCTTTTATGAATATGCTTACTTATCTCTTTTGATCTCATTATTTTTACCTTTGTTTTTTTAATACATTTCATTCCATTCCATTATAGTAAGTAAACATAATCTTAAAGTTTTCTTATAGGTGCACCTCATAACCTAATTTTTTTTTAATACAACCTTGCCCACGACGCTTTTTAATTTAGTACAATGTCACTCTAAATAATAGATTCAGATTTTGATTGTTTGTTTGACCATGATTTGCAGTACTGGCAGCCGCGTGGCATCTATTTTATAAATTAAAAAAATTAAGAAAATTAACACCTGGTTCCTCAGGCAAGGGGGTACCATGTCCTTCCCCAGCTTATCTCTCCCAGGCAAGCAATAAAGCATTTTTACGAGCCAAAATGAGGACAGAAAAAATAAGAATATAATTCTGAACATACTGTATGCATTTCGCTCTATGTGAATAACCTGAATATTCTTAACCAACAAGAATTGAATCCAATGAAAAGAATTAAGATCTCTCATGATATAATAAGTTAATATTTAAATTTTCATTAAGAGAAATGCCAATATCAAGTGCTTGCCTTAAAAAAGATTACTTTCTATTGAAGAATGTATGTGAGCAATAAAAAAAAAAGACGTGAGTATTATTCTTGTATTACAAGGTACTTTTTACATAAACAAAAAGTGGTCATAATTCTTATAAGAAATCAAATAAAAAGATAAAACAATATATTAATTTTATTTTTTTAACTGGATTTTTAAAAAAAATAATAAAGTGATTTATAATCATCCTTTAATTAACACGGGTATAATTAAAAGGTTGAGATCCTTTTTAACAAACACAGCAACGTAATTTTTTTTCCAAGTAAATGAAAGATATTTCACATACTTTATAAAGAGGAGAGGAGGGATTATCAATCATGCAACAATTTTTTTTTTTTATTGACGCGTCGCTAAAGTCACATTTTTTCTACACAACAATTATCCTATTATTGCCACGGTTTTGAATGGGAATTAAAAGATTACATATGGCCGGTAAGGATGCTGCTTTTGCACATGATTTTCATGTATTATGTGAAATAAAAAATACAGATAATATAATTCATTATTATAAAAGTTGTTAGTTTTTATCACATTAACAAAACATTGTCATCAAAATGAAAAGCACAATCAATTATATTATTAATATTTTACTTTCTTAACGTTTCCTGTTGTTTAATCAGGGGCGTGTAATGATGTAGTAATAACTGATAATGAAGACGTAACTTTTTGCCCTGAATACCTCATATTGATAAACCTGAAGCCGCATGACTAAATATTAGCTGTCTTCGCTGCATCTTTTTTCTCTCCTTCCCAAAATCCTCATCAACCCCTCCCTCTCTGCTGTGGGCTGCGCTTTATAAATCCTCCCAAGTCCCATAGTCATCACCTCAAACTATATTCTCATCCTTTCATCCGCATCTCTCTTGAATATAAATCCCATATATATGTTTAGTTCATCAGAGGCGTAAATACTGATCCCCAACATCATGAGCTCCACCAACGGCGACTACATCGGCACTGAGAGCTGCATCAATGACATAAACCACGATGACTTACGCGACATGAATGAGCCTGCAGGCCCGCCAACGATGAAGAAGCAATCCAGCGGCAGAAAGATGAGGGACAAGAGAGAGTTCCCTCCCCCCATACCTCTGCTGGTTTCATCCCACATGCCGCACGAGCTGAAGAGGTACTGCACCAGCGACGGCCGTCTGATTCTCAGGGAGGAAAAGCCCAGCCGCCGCCACTTCTTTCGAGCTCACAGAGCCAACGGTCGTCTCATCCTGCAACTCCTTCCCCTCGACCACGTGTTCCATACAGATAGCCTTTGTCTCGATGCTCGGGAGCAGCTAGAAGGAGTCCAAGCAGCTAGTCCGCCTCAAACTGATGTTTATGGTGATGGTGAGACCGTGCATGATAGGTTTGGAGATGAAAGCCCTGGCGCACGGGATGCTGAAGGGCTTCCCCGGTCAACAAACTGTAATTTGAACTTTACTAGGGTTTCATCAACGCCGTCCTCCTTGTTTGAGATGCCTGTTCATCCAATTAGGACGGTTCGTGGTTGATTTCTTTGTAAACAAATCTGGAATCCAATTTTTTAATTTCCTAGCTAGTCCGTGCAGCAAGCGCCAGGGTGTTCTTGGTCTTGTTAACAAGGTTGTTTTTCCTGTATTGTTGCTAGTCCATCATCCTCAATGATAAGCAATTGTGATCCTGCTTTTCTTTTAATGTTCGCTGCCAACTCGTTTTGCTTCAAGGTTTATCCAACGGTTTCAACTATGAGAAGTGCCTTGACTCGATCGATATTCTAAAACAATTGGAGACAGATACACGGATGGAGGAGTGTCAATTAAGGCCAAGTATGTCAACATATTGAAGTGGTAAAACTGAGAACGAACTTAAATAATTGATGGAAATGAAAATAGATAGGAAGTGTATATATGGACTCGCCGTGTCTTTCAATTTTAATTGTACGTTGCCACCAATTAATCAAGTCATTAAGAGATATTCAAGAAAATAAGCTTATCTGGAATTGGGAGTCGAGGACAGCGATACTGGCATATTTAGCTGACCAAATAGTTGTTTTTAAAACAACCAATTACAAGAAGAGATTACTCGAGATGGGATAAGATTAAGATGGATCGTCGTCCACTTCAATCTTGTTCCTGAATTGACTCAGGTTTTGAGACCACAGTTCTCGAAAAGAACAACTTCATATATTCAGGTGGGTGTTGATGGGACAATACTGATAATGAGAATGCGGTGAATTTTAATTTTTTGGGTGCACCATGAAGAGTTTAATATTTTTTTTTTATAAGCAGAATTCAAATAGTTTGATTTCGTCAAAATCTTATTGGCTTAGAGATCAAGGTATGAAGTTATGAGTTTGAATCGAATGAAGTTCGTGTAAATAGGTGTTGTGTATGTGTTTGTGGGCTTTCCTATGAGAGAAGTGAGAGTGTGTGAATAATTAAAAAAAAAATGGTTTGTTCTCTTAACAGAAATGGAATAAGTAAATTAAAAGAAGAAAATCGAAGGGAGAAGTAGAAATGTGGAACGAAAAGCGCAAGCTGGCAGGGGGAAGAGAGAGTGAAATTTCCGACTTCCGAGGGAGGAAATGGGAGTTGGGAAAGCAGGGAGAGAGAGTCCTCCGTAGGTGAGGTACAGCTAGCTTATGTACTTTCAATTCCATGAAAGAATGATGCCGCGATCCTAAAAAAATTAATTAATTTAAATTATATTTTAAATATTAAATTTTATGAATTTATAATTCAATTTTTTAATTTTAATTTGTAACTTATATTTTAAATTTTAATAAAAAATAAATTTATTTATATTTTAATTTTGTTAAAATTTAAAAAATAAATTATAAATTCATCACAATATAACTATAAAATTAAAAAATTAAATTATAAATTTATGAAGTTTCAATTTAATTTAAATTAATAGATATTTTTGAAATTTTTTTAATCATACTCCCAATATTCCAATTCCTATTTGTGTCAGTCCTCATCATTCGCTCTTTCATCCTTCCAAATTTGGGTCTGAATTGATTTTTTTCATTTTATCTTTTAATTTTAATTTTAGACATATTATTTTACCTCCTGCACAATCAGTGTATTCATTCTTCTGCTCGATTCAATGCTTGTTTTATTTAATTAATATCTGGATGACAACAAAAACAAAATTTCAGACGTCTGTGAATAAAATTTGTCTTCCTTCAACTTAACATTGTTCAAATCTTATTTTAATTTCTTAAAGTGTAAAGCGAAGAGATTTTTTTTTTTGTTAAAAAAAAAGAGGAGTTCCACGTTATAACGTAGTTTCACATTTTTTTAGAAAATTGTACGTTTTTTCAAAAAATTATAATGGTTTATTCCTTTTGATAATTTTTCTAGTGATTAATTCTGATCTTACGTACATTTATTTGATTTAGTGCTTAAAAAGTTATTGGTCTTATTTAGTTTTGACTAACGAAAAAAATGTCATTAATTTTATTGATCATGGACCAATATCTGTAACCTTTAAGTGTGGGAAAAAAAAATCAGTGCCGTTAATTGAAATTTCCAAGAATAAGTAACTTATCAAAATTTTATTTTAACCTAATAATCAGGAAACAAGTTATTATTGTTTTTTAAAGGTTGGACCAATAAAGGTATCTGGAGCGCGTTTTGGAAATTGGAACAGCCAAGTTCTCTGACCAATTAATCATGTTGACGTTTGATACGGGGTTACACCGTATTTTTATTCAATAATATTTATTTCTTAAAAAAAAAAAAAACGATGCTCCATGACCATTAATATTGCACAAATATGTACATGACCTTCCATCCATCTTTTAATATATCCTTTTAAAGACATTTTTAAAAATCTTACCTAATTTAAAATATAAAATATTAAATAACTTTTATATTTAATTATACAACTACATCCTTATTTCATTTATTTATCTTTTAAAAAAATTATGTATTAAAATTTAATTTTTATTATTGAGGCTTTTATATATAATATTTAATGAGAGTATAAACTGAAAGATGTACATATTTTTAAGAATTTAAACTGTTAACTAACATTATTTATAAATCGTGAATTCATTAATCATGCTTATACTATGGTTTGAACTTTGGGGGGAATTATAGCACATATGTTTATATATTCTCCCCCATTCCTAATGTAAAATATTTTATTAGAATACTACCGTACTCAAAATATAAGATATTGTGTAATTTTTAATTCTTTAATTATATTTTTATTTATTTATTTGTTTTAAAAATAGTTCACTTAAATTTAAATTATTATTATCAAGATGTTTATACAAAATATTTAGGGAAAGTGTAATAAAATAATGTAATTTTTAAAAAATTGATGTCCCAACTAATATTTTTAAATAATATTCACAGGATATTAGGACTGTCGTCCTGGCGTACAGTAATTGGATACTCTTGGAGAAGCACACCTGGCACCTTGAACAGCGGGCCCCACAGCCAATTGTGGGCTTATCGCTGCGACCCGCGAGAGTTGCCACGGATTTTCCCCACTGGAAAGTGTAGGTGTGGTAGGTATGTACGCGTACTTAGGAGCAGTGAAATATTTGGAGTGAATCATATAAATACTCTTTTATTGATCAGAAACAAGAAACTGAGAAAGTTGTGAGTAGAGCGGAACTGGCACTTAACATGGATTCCAGATATATTCAAAACCCAACAAAGTTCTTGTTGGATTGATCATGGATGGTGTGATCAATTTTTCTTAATTTGGCCCCGTATGTCTTTACGCTGTTGCGCCTCCGCATCCTCCCAATCCCCTTTCCGCTAATAACACTCCGATCGGAGTTTTGTCGGAATGAAAACCAGCCGTTTCAAGTCTGCCCTGGAAAGACCTTCTTAGCCCTGGGGCCTGCTGTGGGCCCCTCGAGCCCAAGGGCATCTCACGTTAAAAGAACCACTTGGGAATATGGAAAATGAGTTGGATCCGGAGAGTGCTGAGTGTTTTCTCTCTAAAATCACTTCCATTTTCACTGTCATTTTCCACTCTTCCTCAGCGCCGAGTAAGATATCGTTCCTTTGCCTTCATCATCCAACTTATCGCAATGTTTCTTCTACACAGGTTTTGTGCCTCATGTGATATTGTTGCATCTCTACATAGTGTAAATTTACATGGATTTGATGATAAATTTATTGTGGCGCTGTTTCGTAAAAACAATGGAGAGTTCTGCATATCATGAACATGACTTCAAAATTTTAGTATCAAGAAATTAAACATCTCTGATAACTGTTTGTGTTCAATTCTGCTCTGCCATTCATTACTTCAATAATCCTTTCTTTCTTCGCATATGGGAAACCCATGTGTTACGAGCGTCTCCTTGCCGAGGAAGACGAAGCAAGCAAGGCATACACGAGAAGGGTGGCAAATAGGACAAAAATCCTCGACATGTATATCACAATTGCTCACCACGTGTATGAAACTATTGGGAAACAAGTCGATCGATGTTGCGCCTGTGTGTACATATATTTACATATATATAAATGGCCGAGGTTGACAATCATAAATTGCATTTCCCTCGATCCCCAGTCGAACACAAAAGCTCATCCAGTTTTCACGTGTGCGATATGTCTGTGACCAACATGTTCAAATTAAGTTTGGTTTGTAGGAAGCTTGGAATTAATTCAACGCTCAAGTATTATACTATTCTTGTGTGATTTTCTGCAGGTGTCAATGGATGTCAATGTCGACCGGCTTCGTTCGTTTGCCGCTTGAGTGGAGACTATTCCCTGTTTGATGCCAAACTCGGAGAGCGGTAAGGAGGAAGTCAAACAAGAATATTTCTACTTACCCCCACAAGCAAGACATGGGCATAATTCGATACTTTCTATCATCCAAGGAAATGTTATCTTCGAAAAATCCAAAGCAGTCCACTGCAGGTCGTATTGAAGATGACCTGATCAGAGTAGGACTACAAACCCTAATTCATCCTTCCACTCGTGCTCCCCGCATCGTACATTCGTATACTGGCTATACTGTCTTCACAGCGAGGAAGCCACTTCCACCATCAATGTTTCGCTCGCTTGTGATGGACGATGTTATTGGAACCGAGAGTGGTGACTACATGAGCTCTAACGTGGAATATTCAAAAGGCGTGGTGGACAAATCTGAACCACGCCGTAATGGCACAAGGTCCAGATACAGGAAAACTGAAATGAAGGAGTTCCCACCTCCCATTCTACTGCTGACACGAACAGGTGGAATGCCGTGGATTTTCAAGAGGCAGAATATCGACGGAAGACTTATCATGAGAGCGGAGAGAATGAAGCGTCATGGATGTTTTGAGGCTCACCGACTGGATGGCAGGCTCACTATGAAGCTCGTCCCGCCCAGAGACGACGCCGCTTATTGTGAGGATTGTGGTCATCCCATCGCCGACCAGCAGGAGGAGTCGGAAGATTATGAGCAAGAGGAGGTGCAGAGTGAAGGTTCTTGGGTACAGAAATCACCTGTGAAACTAGAGACTGAGGAATCTGAGGAGTTGTGTGGGTGCATCGGATATGATGATGGGTTGGTTCGGGATTCGGACCTTTTCTGGAAGGGCAGAGGAATTGAAGGGTCCAGTGGGTGTTTGGCAAGTCCAAGTTCG